CCTCCTCCTCCTCTGTGTTGGTTGCCCTGATCTATTGTTACTTTCACATAGGTGCTTTTATCTTTTTGAATGGAAGTCAGATTACATATAATTATATTCTATCAATAATTGTAACAACACATTTGAATCTTCAGAGATGTTTTGATTCATTGGAGGATCCCAAACTGGATTTCCTAATTCAAAACAACTCTCAGTCTTTCTTTCTTTCTTTTTTCTGTTGCAGTGCTATAGAATTTTTTTTCCTACTCTTAATGAATCTATACTCCAGATTTTTCTTCCAGTACTTAATCATTCCAGGCCCGGTTTTAAAAATGTAATTCTCCAACCATTCAAACAAAAACTTACTAAACGTTTAGTATTTTAAAAAATGCAACAAAAAAGAACTTTATTTGTATTTTTAGCTTTAAGTACTTGGATAATGAGTACATGTGTAGGTTTTTTTTCGTCAGATGAAGTTAGGATTAGACGGCATCTAAAAACTTTGAGTAATTTGCTCCGGCAGCTTTTCTTCACTTGTCAGTTTTCCAAAAGTACAAAAAAACTCTTCCATTTCTCTCTGAAGAGTTTCATTTTTCCTCTCTGCATCTTTGCATGCCCTCTCTGCATTGCATATTTTAATTTCCATCAAACAATGCCACTGCCGTTGCTGATTCAATTTTGAATGTAGATTCTTAACCTCTATGTCCCTTTCTTTATTCTGTTGCTCCAGGCTGTTGGCATAAAAAACAGTTGCATTTTACAAGTGCTTCGTTTCCCTGGCTTTATCCTGAGTTATGTTCATTTCAAAAGTAGAAATACTTGAAAGGTTTTATTCTAAATTCTCAGTAATATAAATCAAGAGCCACAAGGTAAAGAAGGATGCTTGTAATAATTTGGTCTAAAAAGTAACGTTTCAGACTATAATCACAATTTTGCCTCCTTTATCACTGTCATGTGTTGAAACCACTATTTTCACTTATCCACAAGAAGAAAATGAATCTGACACTAGTAGCCTTAACATTATACCAACAATTAGAAGACTTGTAGTTCGATAAAGTGGCAGTAAAAAAACCCAAAACTTCCCTGTGAAATGTGAGTTAGGTTGATCGTTCAATACATGCAAATGATACGTGATTTATTTTTCTGTTTGCAGCTTGCTGTTTACCATGCAAAGTGCAATCATATTAACTGGTCTTCCAAAATGCATTGCTAGAAGTACGTATATAAAAAGTATGGGACAAATATTGGTAGATTTTAATTTAATTTATCATCATTCGTTTCAACCAATCTATAAATTTTCTGGTAAACTAATATTTCCGCTGCATTTCCGACAACAGCCACACAAACCATCCAAAGGCATGTTATTGTATGCTGTCTAGAATTGCTTTGTGCGAGATGTGCAGCCATATAAATTTGATAAACAAATAAATACAGTAAACCAAGCCCCAGTTGTTGACATATTGTGGACTTGAATATTTACCTTGAAATAATAGCTTCATATTCTGCCCTCTGTTGGGCCATCTGCTTCTCTAGATGGGCAAAGTGGCACCGTAAGAAGCTTTGACACGTGGAAACGTCCTTGCGTGAAATGGAACATTCGTTACGGTTGTTCATCTTGCCTTGTTCCGAGCTGTTGACAATCCCTTAAATGTTTGTTGTCGTCTTATTAGCCCCTGGAAATTCTTATTTATGCTTATGCCTGGTTTAAAAAAGCAACAACCTGAAACCTCAGTTTTAATCCAAGCTTCGTATTATCTAGGTAATTATTTGATTAGATCTCAGCAATATTGTTGATAATCTTTAAGCTCATTTGAAAAGTGCAAGCAGCTTTCTTCTAGGTGAGAAGTAGCATTTAATTTTGCCCGCTTCCTGGTTTAATGCTGGACCTGGAGGTCTTATCCCAAGCTGCAGCTGTCTGAAGCTTCTCAGATGCTTGGAAATAATAATCCACTTTTATGGAATCCTGGATCTTGTTTCACTCCTGACTTTGTTCTGGATAAGGAATGGGAAACACCTCACATTGCCATGCTTCCCATGTTCTCTTGCACTAAGGGCTTACATCTATTGCCACCACCCTTTTATTACACTCCCTGTTTTCTCATATGCAGCGTGACCAACTTTGGTGGGTGGAACTCTCTTCAATGAATTGTTACTTACTTACTGTTCAGATATCTGCCAAGCTATTCTTGGCTGTGAAGCAGCAGCAGCACAGCTGGAGTGTATAAATTCCTCTGTGCCTTTTGTATAGACAATAGAAATATATTCAGCCTGCTTTAGATATACTGGTTTAACAACCTAAATAATTGGGGGGTGGGGGGAAAGGATAGTGGTGCCAGTTCCAATGGCTGATATCAGCATAACATTCCCAACCTCCTGTGCCAACATTAAATGTCAAGTCCCACCAGGTTAGCTGAGATGATTTTTTTTTTGTGGATTACAATTAAAGGTCATTAGGATAGGGAAATCAAGATAAGATAGGATTAAGTTTTCTTCCGCTCCAACTTTATTAAGTTGTTGGCAATGCTGAAGAATCAGTTCACACAACTCATCTGTTTAATACCAAGTAATAAAAATAAAGTACCTTGATATGTGCTTTTTCAAACTCAAGAAATACCTGTTACTGTTCCATGCCTGCCTGTTTGCCATCTGTGTTTTGCTCATTTAAGCAAATGGATTTTCTTGAAGTAAGAGGTTTATAAACTAATAGGAATATTATGGCAAATCATTGACTGTTCTTTCCTTCCCCACTGGAACAAAACGGGAGAATCTTATACCAGCCATTGAAGAATTGAAACTAGAAAAATGTTAAGTGTTCTCCTATTTTTACTTTTCAGCAAATATTTTCCAGCTCCAGTGTAAACTTCACTTTGGCTGATATTTGTGTACGTGTGCACAAATTCCTATTGTGCAGAGAGATGTACACACAGACAGGTATGTGTAACATAAATGTAACCATTTGTATTAATGCATCAGTACCTGATTCAGCTTATTTGGGTATTGTGCTTTTTTTGGAGCCTGAAAGATGCAAAAAAGGTGGAATCTGAAATGAATTCTGTGTCCTGAAGCCACACACCAAACAATCATGGTTTGTTCCAGCAGTGAGGCTGTTCTGTTATTATCTTCCCCTTGTTGTCTTATGTACAATGATGGTGAATTTTATCCACTGAATTTTGAAACTGACCTTGATAAATAATGCAAATGTGCAATATGTCAATTTTGAACCAAGCAGAACAGGAGACCTTCTGGCAACTGCAATATTTGGGGTATTGGGAAATAGAACCATATTATCCACATAAAAGAACAAGATTGAACATATTCTAGAGTTGTACATAAAATCACCATACTGGAACAACTCTGTGTTACATTTTGCAGTTAATTTTATAGAAATGAAAAGATGAGGATGTTCCTTGAAACATCATGTGCAATTTACTGACATTTTCAGTTATTTAATTTTACTTTCAGCTATTTACAATTTTACTGTCTTCCATCCTCTATTCATAATCAAACCCACATAGTGTGGAAAAAGACACTGCAAATATTTTTTTTCTAAGTTGTTTGTAAGATTCTGCCTGTGATTTGTTTTTGAAGTGCAGGAAGAGATGTATGATTTTAAAATGATATTGCAGTAGGGTTTATTGGCATCTTTGATCTCTTTAAAAGTAACAGAGTAGATTTGGATGCCAGATTCATCAGGGATCTAGTTATTTTCAAGATGATGTTTGAGAATTTCCCAATCAGTCTGGCAGGTAAACGTCACATAAATCCCAATGACCTCTTGAATTGAGAGATGATGAGGAAATTGCCCCCTGGTACCCTTTTTCTACCCACCAGGCTGAAGACTCTTGATTTATTGGGGAGCTCATGAGATGATGGAGCAAAAAGTGAATGATTGAACACTGATGGTAAAAGATAAGAAATGAAGATTGAGTAGAAGTAGAAGTTCCTCACACTGTAGTGATAAACAAATAATTGTCTGCTCTCAATTAAATAATTGAATATTGTCTTTTTGTCTTTTTTTAAGATGGCCCATACCATTTTTGGTAAGAGTGGATGAAGTATTTTTATATCTTTCTAAGCTGCCTTGAGTTGCCATGTGCGAGTAGGCGGCAATATAAATTGTCTATAAACAAACAAACAAACAAATTGCTGTTGTTAACTAGACATTTTGCCTTTGGAGACTAAGTGGAAATGTTAGTTGAGACAGAATGTGACAGCCCATTTAAAGACCCGTGGTGGTACAATGTTTAGAATGCAGTACTGCAGGGCTAACTCACTGCTCACTCCAGGAATTCAATCCTGACCGGCTCAAGGTTGACTCAGCGTTCCATCCTTCTGAGGTCAGTAAAATGAGGACCCAGATTGTTGGGGGCAATATGCTGACTCTGTAAACCTCTTAGAGTGGACTATAAAGCACTGTGAAGCGGTATATAAGTCTAAGTGCTAATGCTATTTACACATGAATGAGAAAGACTTCAGTAGCGTGCCCCCTGAACTAAGGGTGTTGCCAATAATTTTCTGAGTTCAGAGCAAAATGCTGTTTTTGACCTTTAAAGCACTATCTGGCATAACCCTTCTGTATTGTTGGGACCATGGTTTCCAACTGATCTGTCCATCCTGTGTGTTCAAACTCAGACAGAGTATTTTAATTCTTTCTCCCAAGGGAGGGGGTAGGCAAGCATTCTTGGGGCGGACCCCATTTCTATGAAATAGTCTTCCTTCTGAATTTTGGATAGCTCCCATATTGGTAGCATTTAGGAAAGCCATGAAAATTGTCCTTAAGTATTGTGCTTGCAGCGGGTTAAGTTGTTTCCTCTTGCTACTTAAATGTTTATGTGTAATGTGTATGTTTTGTGGGTGTTTTTGTGGGTGTTTATTGCACATTTGTGTCTCTGTTGTCTCCTGGCAACTGTCTGGACAAATCCCTGCAGTTTTCTTAGCAAGATTTCAAAAGCAATGTGCCATTGTCTGTTTCCTAGGGCTGAGAGAAAGTGACTGGCCCAAGGTCACCCAAATGGCTTCACATCAGATAGAACTAGAACTCACAATCTCCTGTTTCTAGCCAGATGTCTTAACAACTACACCAAATTGATTCTGGCTTTACCAAATGCTTATTTTTAATGATCTTCATTCTTATTTATTTTAACTTGAATTTTGGTTAATTTTATTGTTTAGAACTGCCCACATTCATGAAATTCCTGTCCTGTCACTTCTTTTATTTTGGAATATAATTTCCTGCAAGTCATCCCTGCCCCCAATCCCCACAAGTTTTTGGCAAAACTCTGCCTTTTTCTTTTTCACATGTAGCATATTACTCGTTTCAGGAGGCCTTGCAGCTTAGACTAAGTATCATTTAATATCTTGGCTGCCACTTCCATTTCAATAGGAATGGAAGTTTTAACAGGCAGGATTCCCCTCCCCCCAATCTTCATTGTAAAAGACAGACATTCTCTTAAAATATTGTAAGGACTTGGTGTAATCTCTTCAATTGAGAATGTTATTGTATAGGTCAGCTTTAATTTATGCATTAGAGTTTGCCAAAATCGAAAGAAGGGAACAACATTCTTCTGGAATAAAAGTTTCTGTGTTGTTTTGATTGTTCAATCATTCTGACTTGTTTGTGAAGCATTCAGAGGGCAGCAAATGAAAAGATCTCCTGTGCTTTTCCCATTGCTTTTTTCCTTAACAAAGAAAATCCATTAAAGCTAGGTACAAAATAAAATGGATGCATAATGTATTTTATGTATTATAGAACAGGAACAATTTCTCTGAAAACACCAATACTATAGATAATGAATACATTCATTAAAAAAAATACCTAACTGAAAACCATTTTAATGAAATTAATGAATTTAATGAAAGTATTGTATCCCTGATACTGTCAGTGATAGCCACACGCCCTGGATCCTTACTGGCATCTTCAAACCCAGAGACTTTAGATTTGGCACATCATCCTCACAGGCTGATGACAAAGGGCTACGTCTTATGACTTAAAGTTATGCAGGGAAAAGACTTGAGAAGAATTCAGCTCATCAATTTATGAATCAACTTATGAATCTGTGCACAAGTGTGTGGTCAATATACACCAGCATATTACCAGGTCATAATCCCCAACTCAATTATTAGAAATATGAAATTAATGTGCTGCATAATACATTTCCTCTCTTCTTCTTCCTGATGAAGGCAATTAGGGTGTATCTGAGTGTGAGGAGTGGCAATAGCCAAAGCATTTAGATTAGTGTGCTCTCAGATGCATAGAATGAGTATGTTACATAGTCAAACAGATGGCTAGGTTTCACTTCGCCCAGTCTTTCTACGATCATCAAAGTTGTGTCTCAAGGGGGCTAGATTCTGGTCTTCACCTCCAGGAAATGGAGTAGCAACTAGCTATTAAAATATAATTAGGGTGGAAAATAATCACCTCCTTCAAAAGCATTTCTGCATTACATTAGCCCCAATGGGTGGGCTCCTGACAAGAATAGAATAAGCATCTTTTTTGAGCAAGGGACACATTTGGAAATTTGAGAGCTTGTGAAAAGCACATTCGAAAATATCCATTGTGGCTATATTGCCAATTAAATAACTCTAAATAATATTTTGTTTAAGGAAAAACAGGTTGCAGATTAAATATATACAGGCAATGTATGTTTGTGTGCAAAAGGAGTTATGTGATTGAACTGATAACATGATTGAACTGTAATTCAATAAATCATTTAAATATCCTGGGTTCCCTCACACATTTCTGTTTATTGATTCAAGTAGGCCCTCCAATAGAGAAAATATATATATACAACAGCATAAAATAGAATTACAGAAGTTGGAGGGAGATATTAGACTACTGAGTACAATATTCTGCTTAATGCAAGAATCCAGATTAAAGCTCTTTTAGCAGATTAATCCAGATTAAAGCTCCTCTAGCCTCTATTTTATCACATACATCGGTTCACTCACTGCTCTTACTGTTAGGATATTTTTCCTAGCATTCAATTATAATTATAATCTGCCTTCCTATAAAATTATATGCCCTGGTTTTTATTCCAAAGCTTGCGCTTTGGAATGATCGGGAACAAGTTTTGACCTTCTTTGGTGTGACATTCTTTCAGATA